TATAAAAGAAAATAATATCCCCTTCTTTGTCTGTTTCTCCTTGCATATATGTATACACCAATGTATTAAATGTCAGATGATACGTAACTAGTATGTTATAGGACAACTTTTAGTATGTTATAGTATGTTTTAGTATGTTATAGGACAACTTTTAGTATGTTAGAGTGCAGTAATACAACGTGGTGTCGATTTTAAAAAAAATCATCGGAAGACCTCAGTAAAGATGTTTAGCCATTTCATCTCGATAGCTGTCTAGTTTTTAATAGTTGCTGATCTGGTTTTTACCGCTTATCACTTATTTGTGCGTTATTTAAAGCTGTAACATATATTTGTGTTTTACAAATAATTTTTTATTTTTTTCTATTTTATTGACGATTGAATATTAACATTTTATTTTTTTAGATAACAATAATTTTTTTCCAGATATAAGGCCTTCTATTTAATCCATAACTAGGAGAAGGTGATTGATTCATAACTTTCACAAGGATATTTTCATATCGGAAAGGTCAGTGATGAAAATTCCGAAGAAAGTTGGTTGAAGGCTAAAGCCCTGGTGGGAAACACTCGTGTTAATATAAAAGTATAGACACAAGTGACCGTTCAAGACAAATTACATTTTGTGATTTGATAAGAAGAATTGGATCAAATAAAAAAAAATCCACCAGAAACACTATAACCCTTCAAATCGTGAAGAAGTACCAAACCTTATAAAATATTTTCGGTGTATCTAAAGCAAAATCCCGAGCTCCATTCTTGTCTAAAGCTTGGCAAATAGTACTCACTATTCTGTCCCCGTATATTAGTATGTCGTTAAAGGGTGAGTAAACTTCTGAGATATTTTGGTCTTTACTATTTAGTTTGACCTTTACTTCCTTTATTAGCTCATCATCGGACGCCTTGTCTATTATTTCGTCAACTGTTATAGGAATCTCCCTGACAGTATTGCGCAAGGTACTTTTTATTTCGACCTCTGTTCTTATGGCAGCAATGACTGTGTTTTCCAGGGGTTCGGCATATTTAGGTATTAATTTAGACAACCCGTCTTGCATGACAAATTTTAATGGATAGGAGAAACTCCATATTGTAGTTATAATTGAGGAGAATGATTCCCCGTCTTTGCAGTCTATTAGCAGTATGTTTTGGCAGACCCTTTTTGATCCAAAGATCGTAAGGAGTGGACGATGGTCTGTTTGCAACAAAAAGTACCTTCCATGAATAAATCTAAGAAATTTGGTCAGCGCAAGAATAATTCCTAAAGCTTCCTTTTCTATTTGCGAGTAACCCCTTTCAGCTGGTAATAGCGTCGTAGATGCATGAGCGATTGGCTTTACCGATCCATCCTTTAACTTGCGTATAATGCATGCCCCGATGCCGTAAGAGCTAGCATCACTGGCGACAATGATGTCAAGGTTTGGAGCGTAATGAGTCAGGAACAGATCTAATGTAAGGAGCTCCTTTATTTTTTTAAATGCTTCCTAGCATTTGGTTGTCCATTCCCACTCTTTATCTTTTCTTAATAATTCATTAAGTGGAGCGCTCAAACTATGCATTCTTGGGACAAAAACGTTGTAATAATTGGCAAGAGCCGGCACATTTTCTGGGGCTGGCATATTCTTTATTGCCGTCGCCCCATCTGGGCCGGAACGTCTTCCGTCTTTGTCAATTATTTGCCCCCAAGTACTTAATCCTCTCTAAGAAAAACTCACACTTCCTGTCTTTTAATTTGAATCCGTAATCCTGGATTCTCATGAACACCTGCCAAACGTGCGATTTGTGTTCCTCGATGCTTTCCCTTTTCACTAGGACGTCACTGCAAAATCCAGACCATTTAACATTGTGCCAATGACCAGTTGAAAAATGGAAGGGGCGACCTTAACCCCGAACGGAAGTCTTAACATTTTGTATAAACCCTTGTGGGTGTTTATGCAAAGCAACTTCGAGCATTCCTCGTCCACGGGTATTTGAAAATATGCGTCGCTTAAGTCAATCTTAGAAAAATATTTTCTTCGACTGAGCTTAGCTAATATCTCCTCTGGAGTTGGAAAGGGATATTGGTGATCTTTTAGGGCGCTGTTCAGGCCCGTACAGAAGTCAGCACACATGAATTTCAATTTGATTTAACGAGGCAAATGGAACGTTAGGTTTTTTCTTAAAAACTGGGTTTACGTCTGGCTTTAACTCAAACTTAGCAGACATTTTTGTGCATTTTCATAGTCCTCCACTGAAAACGTCGGTAATATTTTTTTTAGTTCACCTTTCAACTTTTCTGCTTCGTCAGTCACATTTTCGACTTTTTGACATAATGAGTTAATAGGCATATCCCAAAGTTGAAACTGTTCTAACCAATCAGTCGCGAACAAATTACCAGTATTCTTCATAATATACACCTTCAGTTTTAAAGTTTTACCTTTGAATGACACTTTTGTTATATGTTTGCCCATAAAATTAATAGGGTCGCCAGTTATACTTTTCGCTATTTGGTTCGTTCTTAACAAAGTCGGCGTACCCAGTTTTTTCATGTTTGATAATTAAATATGGATGTCTAAACCCGAATTCAAGCTATAGCCTTATATTTTTGGTAAATTTTTTCACTTCAATATATTTCCTGATGTTACGACTTTATGGTTCATCAGACTTGGTAAATTTTGCAAAACTTTTTTGTCTTGTTCTTAGTCTTGCAGTGGGAAGTTTTGTGCTCCAATTTATAGCAATTAAAACATTTTTTTTATCTTTGAAAGGACAATACCATTGTAATTGACCACATCCGAAACGTGCTCTTGACGGCAAGATTATTATTTTTTGACTGGCCCTTTTTAACTTTTCTTCGGTGTGTTTTTTAATGTTAGGCACGCCACTCTATTCGATGTTTTTCGAATCCTCTCTGACGCTCACGAAGCGTTGACAATCTTTGACAACTTGCTATAAAGTAACGTCGGGCTCGTTTTCAAGTTTGTTGAGTACCCCTACGACGTATTTCGGCGTCTTTCCCTGAAATCAAACCCTAGACAAAAATCAGGCATTTAAAATTATTGGCGCTTAGCTCTTCCAATTTGAAGTCATCGCAGTGTTTATTAACTACACTTTGCGGGTGAGATTCATATATTTTCAACGCTTGTGGAACAGTGATGTTTTTGGACTAAAGACTTCTGTTAATAATTGAACCGCCTTTTTAAATTTTCTTAGGCAAAATATAGTTAACAAACTTAGTATATTCTGCTGTGTTTAATTTCCTGAAGAGTAGGCGAACCTTTATATGGTCAGCCCAACTTGAACAATCCGTATTGTATAAGTTCTCGTAACGTTTACAGTACGAAGTGAATGTAATTTCTTCTCCATGTGCAAACGTGAAGTTTTCAATAGCCATCCATATAGGATTTTGAGAGAACGCGTTTTCGCTGTCCTCAGTTTGGATTTGATGGATATATTATACACGTGCCTTTTCTCATTCTGTGTTTTAAGCAACATTTCTTCCAGTTTCTGTTGTCTAATCTGAATTTCTAGGTGCAATTCCTCAAATTTTTTCAAGCATTTTGCTTTCTCATTGGAATTTCTCTTGTCTTTCTTGATATTTCTGTTCCAATAATAGTTGTTGTTCTTGTTGGTGTTTCATCAACTCTAGCATTACACTTTTAAATTCGTCCATTTTACTACGGTGGTACGTAAAATTAAGAAATGAGAGTTAGCATCTTTTTTTTCTCTTTACCTTCTTAAACAACAGTGAGACTTGTACGATTCTTTTACTGAAAAATTTAAAAGCGGGAGAGGGGGTAAAATTTTACTTTACCCTATCAGCGAAAACAATAAGTCTTTTTGACTTGTACAGTTCTTTCACTGACATGTTGGAAGGGGGAAAAATAACAAGGTTCACCAACCTTCTTCCCAGCCACTGAATTGAACTTGTAGAAATCCTATTGCTTTGAGGAGTTACTTTTTACACTGTCAGGGTTGTAATTAAAACTGGATATCCTTTTGTCGTAGAATTTATTACAATTCTTTTCTTCACAACTGTTATAGACACTGGCAAATTTTTATGATTTAACGTGAAGTCTGTTTCTTCGAATCCTTCGTCGGCAAGATGTCGTGACCAAGTAAATGGTTAAAGAAATAACAAAACAATTTTCACAGATAAACATATATTAAACAGTAAGTACAACAGTAGAGTATTACACGACTAGTGAGTGTGTGTCGGTTGACCTAGCGTTCAATTTATTCGATTGTTCCCCCAAGGCCTTCTCTCCTACTAATCTTATAGTAGGCGGAAGAGTCCAACATAGACTCTTTAGAGGGAGGACACCAAAAGACACACACGCACACACACGCACACACACACACACAGACACACACGTATATGTATTAATAAATATACATATTATCCCGCACCGCTGGCACCACTCGGAGTTTCATGCACAGCTCAGTCTTCAGGTGATGAGTACATACTCAGCACTTGAGGACTGCATTGGGCATAAAACTCCGAGTGGTGCTGGCGGTGTGGGATACTATGTATACTTATTAATATATACTTAATAGGTCTGTTATATTACATCAAACACTGTTTTATTAACATCAGCATTATATGTGCGATATATATATATTATACAAACACACGCACAATGACACAGGCACACACGTATACACACATACATACATACATACATATATATATATATATATATATATATATATATATATATATATATATATATATATATATGTGTGTGTGTGTGTGTGTGTGTGCGTGGGTGGGGTGGTGTATGTGTGAAATGTCAACGAATGGAATCCAATTCCGACGTTCGTAACATTCAATTTAAAAGAGGCTCAATACAAAAGTAGAGCAATATTTTTTTTATTTTAGGATATTACATCAAAACCATGTAAAACGCTGCACAAATGAAATCATGTTTTTTGGTGTAATATCATAAAATAAAGGATATATATATGTGTTGTGAGACCGTAACAACATGGACTCTTCCAGGACTATATAAAGTATGCGATATAACACTCTAGGAGAAGAGGAGGAAAGAGAGAGAGAGAGAGAGAGAGAGAGAGAGAGAGAGAAAGAGAGAGTATTCTAATACCGTAATATCAGCCGCGTACGACTACCAATATTGGACACTAGCACATAGTAAGCTCCGCTTACACTTACACTATCTTTGTAACCTTTTTGTTTAATATATCTTTCTTACCTCTAATCCGTGGTCCGTGTTTACCTTCCGTGGTCCCAACTTTGGGCCCACATCAATATATATATATATATATATATATATATATATATATGTGTGTGTGTGTGTATCTGTGTGTGTATTTAGACAGCAATCCTTCTTACATGCACATTTCATTAAATACGACAGACAAGGTAGTTTTTGATAGTTTTTTTTTCTTTTCAGATGATGAATTATATAATTTATCATCTGAAAAGAAAAATTATTAGATCGTATGATAAATCGTATAAAAAACTATCAAAAACTACCTTGTCTGTCGTATTTAATGAAATGTGTATATATATATATATATATATATATATATATATATACGTGTGTGTGTGTGTGTGTGTATTTGGACAGTTTATCTTCATATAATGTATCTATTTTTATACTGATCCTACCAAGTTCTTGATGTTAATATAAAGTTTATCTCGGAAGACATCGTAGTTTCTTCGAACACAATTACTTTCGATCATATCCAAGATCATCTTCAAGAGTAAATTAGAAAGGCAATAAAATCTGCATTCCGTTGTGATGGGGATTTTTAAAAATATATGTGAATGCCCTCTGTTATAGTTATTTTAAATGTTTTAATTGCTCCATTGTCGTTATGGAATTTTTTTTCTCAAAGCAAGCGTTTTAGTATAAGGAAGCTGTCGGGAAATTGGTAGAAATGCAAAATTGCATTAAATATTTGTTATATGCACTTCAATACGTTTCTGCTACACTCGTAATAAATTTTGTTTAGTGTTGGTTTGTTAATTTTCATATAGGGAATGTTGAGAATTTAAAGTTTAAATAAATATATCTATATGAATCAATGTAACACACACGCACACACACATATTTACATCTAAACAAGATATATAAAAAATTCTTTAACGCAAAGTAGTTGTCCATACAGCACCTTCTTTGGAAGCCTATGCTCATCCATTCTCACAATATAACCAGCCCATCTGAGGTGTATCTTTGCCAGAAGGGTTTCAGTGGCCGTGATGTTGTTACATTTCTTTAGTATTGCACTATTCTTGACCATATTATACCACATTTGGCACGAAGACAGCGCATGTGAAAAGCGTCAAGTTGATTTATGTGTTTGCGGAACAGGGCCCAAATTTCGGCACCGTAGAGAAGGATTGTGGGAACGATTGATCTGTATACGTCGATCTTTACTTCGAGAGACACAATTTTAGTGTTCCATAATCTATGTTTAAGATTACCGAACACTGTGCTAGTTTAGGCTGTTCTGGATTAGATCTCTCTGTCCATTTTATTTATATATATATATATATATATATATATAATAATATGTATATATTATTTCGCATATAAAATTAAGAATCTCAACAAGAATATTTCTTACATTATTCGGACTATTGTCCTCATCTTTGTCGCCACATTTCTTACAACGTTTCTGCCGTTGTACACTCCGGTCTTCTTCAGGTGGTTGGAATGTCGAACTGAACACTTTATTTCACTCCCTGTGGTAGACTGCTCTCGCTCCACGTTAAACGGATGTCAGTTATCACCTGTTAATTTCCCTCTGCCTTAACCGGGTATTGAACTCACACTCTTGGGTCCTGTCACTAGATCTAACCAACGCCTTTATCCACTCGGCCATGTGTCCTTGAGGTCATCGGTATATGAACTTCTGGATGTTATAATCCTAATGTCTCAGCAACCATATAGAATATTTCTATAGTTTGACAAACACCTTTTAGAAGACGAAACGCTTTTCATAGATTTTTTGCATTTCTTCATTGAGTTACAAATTAAAGCAGTGGCAATTTTCACCCAATAATTTGTTAGGAAGCATGATTTGAATATTTCGTCCGATCTCGGCCGGCCATTTTGAATGTATTACTATATCTATAGGTCATATGTGAATGATAGGGAGAAACCCAGATAGACACTTTTCGCTCTTTGAAAATAAGCCAGACGATACATGCATTAATTACATTCAGATATGTGGTAAATTATTCCATGTAAAAATCTTTTCATATTTCCAACAGACCTACATAATTTGTCTTGTATTTTGGGAAAAGTCTCACTAATCGTTTTATTTCCAGAAACCAATTTCTTTAGATTCGTGTCTAGCAAGTATCAGGCGAATATTTGATACAATCTTCGTTAATTTTTTGATCTTGTCTTTCAAAAATTATATAGAACATTCTTTTTTTTATTTAATGGCAGTCGCCTGATACTTGAAGAAGCGGGGTGAGGCACTTGACAACGATTTTTCGCCAATTTTCTGAATAAACAGATTAATCGTCATTAATGCTGATCTCATAAAAACGATAGAAAATTCTTATAAACAAAACAGAAGAAAATGTTTGAGTTGTCAAAATAGACAAAAAATATTCGATAAAAAAGTAAAGAAGGAAAAGGGTCTAAATTTGCATGGAAACATGAAAAAACAGAATATATTGACATGTAGGGAAAAAGACGAAGAAAAAGGATGATGATGATGAGAAGAAGAAGAAGAAGAAGAAGAAGAAGAAGACGGAGAAGGGGAAAATGAAAATTAATAAACATAGCAAACAGGATGGAAAATAAAAATAAAAATAATAATAATAGTAATAATAATAATAATAATAATAAGAAGAAGAAGATGAAGAAGAAGATGAAGAAGAAGAAGAAGAAGAAGAAAGATGACGAAGAAGAAAGAGGAGGAGGAGGAGGAGAAGAAGAAAAACAAGAAGAAGAAGAAGAAGAAGAAGAAGGGGAAGAAGGAGGAGGAGAAGAGAAGTGAAAGAAGAAGTGTAAATCTAGCAAATTAATAAACATAGCAAAAGTATGGAAAAGAAGAAGAAGAAGAAGAAGAAGAAGTAGGAGGAGGAGGAGGAGAAAACGAAGAAGTAGAAGAAGAAGAGGAAGGAGGAGGAGGAGAAGGGAAAGCAGAAGACGACGTAGAAATTATCGAATTAAAAGGAGGAAAATAAATACTGGGATAAAGGGAAAATGAAAACTGATGGACATAACAAAGAGGATGTCAAACAAGTAGTAGTATTAGTAGCGGTTGTAGTAGTAGTTGTAATAGAAGAAGAAGAAGAAGAAGAAGAAGAAGAAGAAGATGATACGGGAATTGAGATGGAATGACAAAACAGTAGAACTTGACATGTATGAAACAAGAAGATATACAGAAAAAGAACAAGATGAAGACGGCATAAAACACAAAGAAAAAAATAATAAAGATGAAAGGAAAAATACGACGTCTTCAAAGAGTATCGGAAAAAATGATGCGGGGGGAATATTAAAAATATTATGTCGTCTGAATATTGTGAAATGCACTTACCTGGAGACTTCCTTTTGCGCAATATTCAGTTACAATTATAAAATGTGGTGGGTCAACACAAGCTCCAACAAATGCGTTGACGTTATTGTGACGTATATCTCTCATCTAAAGAAATAAAATAAAAGAGAATCTATTAGAAAATGGATTTATTGAATGGCTCGAAAATACGTTGCAAAATTGTCTTTTGCAAAAAAAAAATGTTAATGCGATCAGAACTGGGTAATAATATCAAAATTGTCGTAAGACGATATAAAATTATACAAAGCGTTTTAAAAGCGCAAATACATTTCATTCGAAACCACTAAAAGACCAACCAGACAGTTTCCGAAAATAACGATGTAACTATCCACTGGGACATGCCAATTCAAACTGAGAGGTAAATAAAAGCCAGAAGACCTGTTATTATGATAAAAGACAACAAATTCAGGAAATGTCTTCTTGTAGATATAGCATTAACATCTGAGAGAAATACCTCTATTAAAATCATCGAGAAATTGTTCAAATTCAAGGACCTGGAGATCGAGATTAAAAAAACTGAGAGTGTACCATTAATAATCGGAGCTCTAGGCCTCGTGAAAAAAGGAATGGACAGTTTTACTAACAGTATCCCAGGTAATATAGACATTCAAGTTGCCCGGAAAATCGTCCTACATAGGAACATCCCATATACTAAGAAAAGTTCGATCAATTAAATGATAATTCTCCTATAGGGCCTAAGGATCATAGTGTGGATCCGGATCTACAGGATACAAAGCAGGAAACATAACATACATACACAAATAATAATAATAATAATAATAATAATAATAATAAACTTCAGCTAAAGGCGCAGAGAACAAGACGATACGAAAAACGTTGTAGGTTCTATCGCCAAAATAAAATATTCCGAACTGATCTTAAGAAATTTTACAGGGAAATTGGAAAAACACCTATACATGTCGAAAGGCCACCATCGATTGGTAATGTACAGACATTTTGGGAAAATATCTGGAGCAGCCCAAAGGAATATAACCCAAATGCAGAATGGATCTGGCGTGAAGAAGAACGACTGCTGGATACACCTCTGCAAGAATGGGAAAATATATCCACAGATGATGTTAGGCAAGCTCTAACGAAATCCCAAGAATGGAAATCCCCAGGAAATGACAAGTTGACCAATTTCTGGCTGTATCATCTCTCATCTACCCATGAAATTCTTGCAAAAACATTATCAACGCTTGTAAATAATCCCAATAAAATCCCGGAATGGATTACTGAAGGTATTACACACAGAAGACCCGAAAAATTATAGACCGATAACATGTCTCTCCACAACGTATAAGTTGATCACGTCTGTACTGACGAACCGTACTTATTCCTTTCTCGAAACAAACAGCATTCTCCCGCTGGAACAGAAGGGATGCAGAAGAGGTTCATATGGCTGCAAAGATCAACTTCTGATAAATAAAATGATCCTGGAAAATTGCAGGAGACGACGTAGGAATCTAAGTGCAGCGTGGATTGATTATCGTAAAGCCTTTGATAGTGTTCCACATTCTTGGATCCTTAAGACTTTGGAAATGTACAGAGTCTCCCCTGTGGTATTAAATTTCCTTAAGCACAGCATGGGAATGTGGAACACCAAACTATACCTTAGTCACACCGGGGGCACTGCCATATCCAACCGTCTGAATATCCGACGTGGAATCTTTCAAGGAGACTCTCTGTCACCCCTTCTGTTTTGTTTATCCTTAATCCCTCTTACACATGAACTGAACAACAGTAGCTATGGTTACAAAATAAATAAGAAAATATTCAATCACCTACTTTACATGGATGATCTCAAACTCTTTGCCAAAGACGACAATGAGTTGAAAGGCCTCCTCAATATTGTAAAATACTTCAGTGACGACATAGGTATGGACTTCGGATTAGATAAATGTGCAAAAGTAACTTTCAAGAAAGCTAGAATTACAGAAACACCCTTAATAGATTTAGATTTTGTCACAAAGATTAGGGAACTGGAGCATGGTGAAGCTTAGGAATTAGAGAAGGAGATGGCATACAACACCCCCAAATGAAGGAAAAAATAAGAAAAGAGTACTACAGGCGTGTACGTCTGGTACTAAATACTGAGCTAAACTCAAAAAACAGGAAATCAGCCATAAACACATTGGCTGTCCCTGTGGTGCAATACAGCTTTAATGTCCTTAACTGGACCATAGCTGAAATTAAGCAAATGGACGCCAAAACGAGAAAGCTTCTCACTTGCTATCGCATACATCATCCCAAAGCTGATGTTGATCGTCTGTATGTGCCCAGATCCGAAGGAGGCAGAGGATTAGCTCAACTAGAACTGTGCTACAAAACTACAACAATTGGCCTCCAAAGATATTTGGAAACTACGGAAGACTGGATGATGGTATGCGTCAAGGAACATGAAATTAGTAAGCGTCTTTACTCCGTAATGAAAGAAGCCAACAAATTCAAAATGGAGTTTCAAATGGGCGTAGAGATGCAACTACAGCACAATACACCGGCTGAAACTGCAAAATGCCTAAAAAAGACAGCAAAGACGAATGCAACCGATCAGATACAGAAGCGATGGCAATATAAACCGCTTCATGGCCAATACTCTCCCCGTACCAAACAAGCTACGTAGACAAAACCCGTACTCATCAGTGGCTACGTAGTGCAGGGTTGAAAGCGGAAACTGAAGGTTTTATCCTTGCTGCGCAGGACCAATGCTTGCTAACTAGGAATTATCAAGCACATATACTAAAATATTGTGTCAGCCCAAAATGCAGATTCTGTGATAAATATCCAGAAACGATTGATCATCTTGTATCAGGTTGCACGATATTGGCACCCACTGAATATAAAACCCGACATGACAGAGTGGGCCAATATCTGCACTGGAAAATCTGCAACTTCTACGGGAAGGAAACTGAAAGAAACTGGTATGAATACCACCCAGACCCGGTTACGGAGATAGGACCTGTTACAATTCTATGGGACAACACTGACAGAACAATCAAAGCCAACCGCCCAGATATTGTTATTAAAGACCACAAACAAAAACGGTGCCTCCTTATTGACATGGCAGTCCCTGCTGACTGCAATGTATCTTTGAAGATATTCAAAAAGTTGTCAAAATACAAGGACCTTGAAATAGAAATCTCGAAAATGTGGCATATGGGAACATCAACAATCCCTGTTGTAGTTGGAGCCTTAGGACTGGTTGGAAAAGATTGCAGTAGACTAATTGAAGGGATTCCTGGAAGTCCATGCCTCAAGGAGATACAAAAATTGTTCTGACAAGTACAGCCCACACCTTACGAAGGGCTTTACCTATGTAATTTAATTTTTTTGTTTGTTTGTTTGTTTGTTTGTTTGTTTGTCAGTGGAAAGTGTCATGACGCCATGACCCGGAAAGAAATGTGTAAACGCCAGAAATCAAAGAAAATAAAAATAATAATAATAATAATAATTTCTTGACATGGCAATCCCTGCAGTTTGCAATATATTCTTGAAGATCTTCAAAAAACTATCACAATACAAGGATTCTGAAGCCCGAAAAATGTGGCACACAAGAACATCAATAATTCCAGTTGTACTTGGAGCACTAGGATTCATTGGAAAAGGTTCCAATAGACACACACAGATTCCTGGTAGTCCATACCAGAAAAAAATTTGTACTCACAAATTTGTACTCATACATTATGAAGAGCTTTAATTATGTAAAATGTGTGTGGTCTTAGTTCTTTTTAGTGTTTATATTTATAGAATGTGTCTAGAACAGGAATAAAAGGAAACAATATTATTATTATTAATAATAATAGTAATCTTTCCAAATTTCTCAGCAAGACTAAAGTAGGAGTGGGGAAATCGGGAAAAGTATTATTATGCATAATGTAAAAATGAAAAGGCATGAAATCACACTGACTTCCATACTAAAAACTATAGCATAAGCAATTCAAGAGAGAACTGACATTGAATAAATAATGAAAGCCAGGAAAGAAGAAAAAATGTCGCTACATTACTGAAAGAAAGTATACCTACCGGACAATTTACCTTCGGACAGTTTACCTAGCGGACGTTATGACTATCGGACAATTTACCTTCGGGTAGTTTACCAACCGGACGTTACGCCTACCGGACATTTTACCTTCGGACAGTTTACCTACCGGACATTATGCCTAGCGGACAATTTACCTTAGGACAGTTTACCTACCGGACATTATGCCTACCGGACAATTTACCTTCGCACAGTTTACGTACCGGATAATTTACCTTCGGAAAGTTTACCTACCGGGCGTTATACCTACCGCACAATTTACCTTCGGACAGTTTGCTTACCGGACGTTTGCATACCGGACAATTTAAAACGGACTGGACATTATGCCTAAAGATAGTTTATCGACCAGACAGGATGCCTACTGACATTTAAATAATGAAAGCCAGGAAAGAAGAGACATTGAAAGAAAGGATACCTACCGGACAATTTACCTTCGGACAGTTTACCTACCGGACGTTATGACTATCGGACAGTTTAGTTTACCAACCGGACGTTACGCCTACCGGACATTTTACCTTCGACAGTTTACCTACCGGACATTTTAGCGGACAATTTACCGGGCAGTTTACCTACCGGACATTATGCCTAGCGGACAATTTACCTTCGGACAGTTTTACCTACCGGACAGTTTTACCTACCGGACGTTATGCCTACCGGACATTTTACCTTCGGACAGTTTAACTACCGGATAATTTACCTTCGGAAAGTTTACCTACCGAGCGTTATGCCTACCGCACAATTTACCTTCGGACAGTTTGCTTACCGGACGTTATGCATACCGGACAATTTACCTTCGGACAGTTTACCTACCGGACGTTATGCCACATGGACATTATGCATAAAGATAGTTTATCGACCAGACATCATGCCTACTGACATTGAATAAATAATGAAAGCCAGGAAAGAAGAGAAAAATGTCGCTACATTACTGAAAGAAAGGACACCTACCGGGGACCGGACGTTACGCCTACCGGACATTTTACCTTCGGACAGTTTTACGGACATTTCGGACAATTTTTAGGACCTACCGGACGTTATGCCTACCGGA